TATTATTCATTGATTGTCACTTCCACCATGCTTTTATTTAAACAATTTTCAGTGAAGACTTAATTGAAGTCTCTATTATGCCTTTATCCTGGCTTTCCATCTTTGAAAAGTATTCCTTCTGATAGATTAAAATTAAATGACAGTGAAAACCCTTATTAATTCCCCCTATATGGTTTACCATTTATTCTATATTCCTTTTTGGCCCTTATAAGCCCCCTTTTCACCTCATTTTGTACATTCCTTACAATTTTCTTTCATACTGTTCATCTAGTTATACAAGTAGCCTCATTTTCAAGTTTCACTTTATTTGTAACCTATTTATCCAGGAAAAGGCTAGATATTTTATTAAATTATCTATTGCATATTCATAGAGTCGGAGAGGTCTACAGCACAGAAAAATACTGTGCCAGTCAAAAGCAACCACCTAATTATTCTAATCCCATTCTCCAACACTCCTTAATAGCTTTGTACGTCTTGGCATTGCAAGTGTTAACTTAAATACCTCTTAAACGTTATGAAAGTTTCTACCTCTAACAACCATACAGGCAGTGAGTTTCAGATTCCCTCTACTCTCCAATTTAAAAAAAAAGTTTCCTCACATCCTCTCTAAACCTGCTGCTCCTTACCTTAAATCTATTACCCCAGTCTTTGATCCCTCCACTAGGGGGGTCTACACTACCTATGCCCCTCATAATTTTGTACACCTCAATCATATACATCTCCTTCAGTCTTCCCTGCTCCAAGGAAAACAGCTTCAGTGTATCCATCTCTCTTCATAACTAAAACTCTCCAGCCCAGGCAACATCCTGGTAAATCTCCCCTGCACCTTCTCCAGTACAATCACATCCCTACTGTAATGTGAATTCCAGAACTGCACACAATACTCTGTGGCCAAACCAACTTTTTCTACATTTCTAGCATAACCGCCCTGCTCTTAAGCTCTGTGCCTCAGTTAATAAAGGTAAGTATCCCATATGCCTTCTGAAACACTATCTGCATGTCCCACCAATTTCAGGGTGGTTTGCCACAGTTGTTCATCTATCTTTTTACTAAGTTTTTAACCAAGTTAATTTGAAGGCATTTTTTTCTTTTTCACTAAGTCGTTTTTTTTTTCCAGTCCAGCTCACCTACCTATGAATCTTAATTCCCCTTATATATTTTCACATTGAGACTATGTTGCCCTCACTCTTACCAATGTGTTGCTACTTTCTCTCAGTTAGTTGCTCCACTCTACTTCTCCAAACCATATCGTATGTACCCAATAGTCATGACTTATTTGAAAATTAATGATTTTTAATATGGTTTTTATTCTAATTAGAGGGGGTGCCGCTAATGAGGACGTTTGAAAAAAGAACAATACTGACCGTAAACAATAACCTAAGATAGCTGTGCAATAGATAACATTCGTAGAAACGATATGCAATGAAGTAAATACTACCAAAATGCCAACTAAATAGTTTTGAGAGACTGTGTGGATAACAGCACAGTGCTCATGATTTAACAGAACCCTGGAATAATAATAGCACAGAAGATGGTTACTTAGCCACTGTTGTCTTCTTTGGTACAGCAAACTATTTAATCCCACTACCTTTCTCTTTGACCACAGCCATATATTCTTTTTTTCTCTTAAAGTAGTTATCTAGTTCCCTTTTAAAAGATCTGTTGAATCTGCTTCCATTGCCCTTTTATGCTTTGCATTCTAAATCATAACATGGTACGTAGACAAGAAACTCATCATGTGGTTTCTAGTCTTTTTTGTCAATCATATCTAGTTTAGCTGATGAAGAGTGCAGTGGTTCAATCTTGCAATCTTTCTGTGATTCAGCATGTTATTAGAATCTCAACTGACTACTCTCAAACTTAATTATCACTACCTTAGCAAGCTATTCATCATTTTGACTTAGACCAATTTTTGGATTTTGTACTTGTCAGTGAATTCCACTTCTCAGAAATAAACCAAGTTACATTCCTACAGTGCACTTAATGTACACAATTACCAGTACATCAGTATGGTGCACCATCATATTTGGGCTGATAAATAGCATTCATATTCTGGCAGCTCCTTTCAGTGTGTCTTATTACAATGTCTCTTTGCCTGTCATGCTGAATTACTACTCAAGATTATTCATACCAATGTTTAAGTGCCAACACAGCAAGCTGCATTGTAGTTAGGTTTCAGAGGTAGACTGGTTCTTGATTAGAAAAGGGATCAAAGGTTACGGGGAGAAAACAGGAGAATGGGGTTGAGAAACATATCAGCCACGATCGACTGGTACAGCTCACACGATGGGCCGAATAGGTTAATTCTGCTCCTATACATTATGATCTTATGGTCTAATTTACTTGTCTCAGATTGACAGTGAATATGTTGTGGCAAGAGAAACAAAAGGCTCAGAGATGATCGCTAAAAAATACACTTATACAACAAATGTCACAATATTTATATCTGCTCAATAAACCTTTAAGAGCCATAAGCCTGCAGTCAGCCAATTAGAATTATTGACATGAAATTTCAATTAAAATTGTCTGTTTCATGGCTTGGAAAATTTTCAGGTTGGAGCCACCAAAACCTCAACCCCTTGAAACATGTTGGTTAATTGCACTGGCACTGGTGAGTCAGGAAATGTTTCTCTATTCTTTCATTAAGTTTTCTCTCCCTGCTTCTCCTCTCAATCTTTATTCCTTCGTATTTTTGCTCCCTTTCTCGTACTGTTTACCTTTGCTACACTTGTGTTTTTCTCTTCCATTTCTGAATCTCTAACATCGTGCGTCTCTTCCATTTTTGCCTACTCCTTCATTCTCACGTCTCTGCTCCCTTACTTTATTTTCTATTCACTTTTATCCCTTGTCTTTCTGATTTTTGTCTGTTCAGCAGTTTTCTCTTTCTGTGTAGCAGTGAAGGTGTTGCATTGAGTGCAACATAAAATAGATCAGTATGCAAATCAAAAAAACATTAGAGCTGCAAACTGATTAAGTACAACCATGATGAAAGGTTACCATTGAACTCATTCAGCTTAAAATATATCATAATGGAGTTATAGACCTTGTCCATTTAAAACAAAAATAAGAAAATGATTTTTTTTTTAAAAAAAAGCAGGTTCCATTTAGACAAAGAATGTTTGGATATATTTTATTTGTATCTAAAAAGCTAATCACAATTTATTCCTGTAATTTCTTCTAAACTCTTTCTCTCCAAAGTCAATTCTCTGAAAATACGTTGCAATGGTCTTGTGGCAAAAGAAATATAAAATATATAAATATACAAAAAAAAATCTCTCTCTGGGCTGGAAGATCTAATCTTTAGTCCCACCTCTTCCAGAGGTGTGTCATACCATGTTCAAACAAGTTTATTAAAAATAATTTTTAAAAAACGTTTTAGTTTGCACTTGTGTGGCTATATGGAATGTGTTCACATGCAAAATTATAATCAAGTCACTCACAACTTACAATATAAGCAAACAGAATACTAGATCAATTCAAACCATCTGCCTTCACTTCACAAATTACTAAAGCTCACACATTCCCCTCCTCATTGAGACATATGTTTGAAGCATTTATAACAGTTTGACTGAATAAAATATTTGTACAAACAATTCGTATATGTAGATTGAGTTTGTACATGTAGATCGAGTAAGTAAAGAATAATGGGTTTAATCGCTTTAATTAGACTTTCCTGCTATCAAGCACAGTTCAAACTAGATATACAAAGCATCCAAGCTACATACTCCTTTTCTGCCATGTTTCTGTGCACTTAATTCAAAAATAAAATTGACTGAAATTAAGGTCAATCATTCAAAATAAATTGCCAATTTCAGTTTTCAAAATTCCAACTATCCCATGAAATGCTTCTATAGATATGTATTTTATGTCCTACATGGATACCCTGAGGAAAATGTTTCTAATAAACTGAAATTATTGCAATTCATATTTGTACTTTTTAATTCGCTCATGGGAAGTGGGCATTGCTGGCTAGGCCATCTTGAATTGCCCAGAGAGCGGTTAAGACTCAAGTATCGTGGTTCTAGAGTCAATTGTAAGGATGGCAGATTTCCTTCCGTAAAGGCCATCAGTGAACCAGATGAGATTTTATGACAATCAACAGTGATTACAAGGTTAGCATTAGGCTAACTTTTTATTCCAGTTTTTTTTTTTTTTACTGGATTCAGATTTCACCATTTGCCACGGTGGCATTAGAATGCATGACTCCAGAACATTAGCCCGAGGTTCTGGATGGGTAGTCCGGTGATATTACCACTAGGATACAAATATTTGCTATGAATTGGTTTAGCCAAACATGGAGGGTTTAGTGATCTTAGTACTGAAACAAATATAAAATAGTATTAATCATTATTATATTATACTTACTAAATGGAACAATCCAATTGTTGGGTAATTTTGATACTCTTCAAAAAGAAAAAACATAAGAAAAAGATGAAATATATATCTTCCACACTGTCTATATGGAAGATTTAAATCCCATCTTTTTCTTTTTACTTTTTCTTCTTGAAAAGCAGCATCAATTTGATTCAAAATAACAATAACTTTGGATTTAAGGTATGTTATTGTGCATGAATATTTTATCCAATTATGAACATTTCATTCAAATATTTTAGAGGCAACTTACCTCATTGCGGGATCTTATTTCATATCATTTCACTTTATTTGTTAATTTTTGCAAAATTGCAGATGAATTGGATTACATAGCACCCTTCTTTGTTCTCAATTCTACCCTGTCATAATATAGAAAATATACCCCCTAATTATTGTACTATCCAAAATCAACGATTACTCTCACGTTCAACAACTGCATTCTGAAGGATTTCACTTTTACCTTAAAAAACACTATTATACACTTATGCCCCATCTGTAACACAAATTACATGTGAATATAGATCCAAGTGATGTTTAATCCATTTTATTACAGCAATGTTCCAAAATACCAGAAGCTTAGCATAATGTCACTGCATTTTGAATAAATGAAGACTGCTTATGTTACCTACTTTGAAATGGAAGCATCCAGATTCATTAATATACCATTTGATGCGGAATAATCATCTTTCTTTTCAGATGTTTGCACATTGAAGGCTGGAGTAGCCATGGCAAGAGCAAGCCTGGCTCTTTTCTCATCTTTTTCAAGTACCCTCTTCACTCCACCATTCAGAAAATATTCTTGACAAACACTATAAAAAGGAAGAATAATTGGTCAGCCTCAAATAACAATATAGAAACACTGACACATAAAAGCTATTTCTCTTTGTCTGTAAACAAAATGCTGTCAATGTTTATTGAGACTAACTTATGATCCAACATTTCGCAATTGTCGTATATGCTCCTGGTAATTAATTTCAATCTCATGCCTATTTTGATTGCTGGTAGTTCCAGGTGGATGTACTACTTCATTTTTAAGGGTGAAAATGTGAATGTTATTGTGGGATTTGAAGCAAGAGTGAAAGTTCCCTATTATTCATTGCTAATAGTTATGCCTTCATATCACTGTTACTTGACTTCCTTCACCTTTAATGAGATAAAAAGTTGTAAATATGATGCTGTGAAAATTAAAAGAGAAACAAAAGTCAGTGCCTAAAGCATACATCTATGCCATTCCAAACGCTGCAATGTTATCCATATTTTCCAACTGTATAGATCCATTTCCAATTTGTTACCAAATTTGGAATAATAATTCCTGTTCTTAAAGTATCACCTCTTTTTGGATAGCTCAATAATGTTCAATAAGTAAAGTCATATTCCTCCAGGTACCAATTTGATTTAATACAAGACTCAACTCTTACTGTATTCTGTACCTGTATGCGGTATGTAATTGTTCTAGAGCTGTTGTTATGAGCTCACAAATGTTGGAACCAAAAGTGAGGGGCATGTCCACAAAGATTAAACAATGCCAAAAGGCATAACATTAAAATTATAATACTGTAATCAGCAAGCACCATTCTTTTCACATAAAGGTAATTGGAATAGGTGACTCTTTTCCCTAAAAAAGCAGTGGGTGCTATGTCAAAAGTCCTATTTGAGATTTATCTAAATATGTTTTTACATATAATCATAGCTGTTTACAAATTACTCGGGTCAATCAGGAGCCTCCCAGTCAACATTTAGTTTTCTCATTATCCTTATTAAAAATGATTTTTAAATATGATGGGTTTGAATCTATGACAAGGATATGTGTGAACTGTGATAGATACATGGAAGACTTCTATTGTTCATGGTAAATCATGAATATGGTTATGTTAAAACAATAGAGTGATATGCCCTGTAATGAACAAAATATTAAGATTATTGATTTATATTATACTGTGGTTGCAGCTAATAAATAACTTTGAAAAATTAATTATTTACAATCGAGCAAGCCAGCTGATATAATTGGTTTCTCAAATACAAGTATAGGTAATGTCATTAGCCATTTCTACTGAAACGTTTAAAATATAAATTGCCTTCAAAGTGCCTCAGAAATCAGCTTCTGAGGGAAACTAACAAAAAAATACTTAACAATTATGTCTTTTGTTTTCCTATCAGAAACAAATGAGTGGAGTTTGCTGTCGTTCATGCCTACAGCTGTCCATAAATTTTTAATGGGTTCTGCAAGGAAATCAATGTAAACTGGAAAGCCATTTTCCAAAAGGCGATTGTACAAGGCATCTAGGGCATACGTGAACAGGGCTTGCAGCAGTATTTGCTTGTTGCAGACCAAAGGGCAGGATGGGTATCACAGAGTGGGGTTCACAGAAAGGGAAGTGAGGAAATTGAAGGCAAGGGCAGATTAGCATCAGCTATCTCCCCCCCATCCCTTCTATGCCAGGTTCCTTGATTGGGAAGAGAGTGCAGGATAATGAGGTACCCCACAGGAGGCCACTGGAAAAACTGATGGGGCTTGCTGGACACTCTTCGGAAGGTACTGAAAAGCCCTGTGGCTCCCATTTGATCCCTGAGCCATCACTGAATTGTAGTGGGCTCAGGGATAAAGTCAGTTGACAGATTAATAAACTCAACTGGCAGATCAACACTGACAACTAGAAATTCTGCATCAGCTCCTTCTTTCCTCTGATCAGGGTGACAGGGAGTGGATGAGTTGAGGGGGATGTGATGCCTTCTCCAGGTAAGTGACACAATCAAGTGGACCTGGCTGCCTTGATTCTTGATGAGATGGGCTTGATTAAATTCTGCCCATGGATTGTAAACCAGGATATTTGTATAAAAGCATAGGATGAAAGAGAAGGAAAGAAAAAGATGGCGTTGTATAAAACAGACAGACAGAGATTATAGATAGAAGGAACAAAGTAAAGAAAATTGATAAAATTTCCAACAATTAGCATCTGAAAGAATGTGATTCCAAACTTAAAAAAATATTTTTAGCGCTAGAGGTGTGACTTGGTAGCAATTAAACTTACTATACAATTAATTGTACTTGTTTGGATGAGACTTTTTCTGGCAAGCTCAGTCGTTATTTGGTGAATGTGCACAGCAGTTTAACACCCTTCATAATGTTTTTAACAGTACAATGAAACGTGTGGAGGGTCAGGGCCAATCAGCAGCCACTTCCTGATATCTGCATTTAATTCTATGTATGGACATAGGAAGTTAGTCTAACATACTCCCTAATAAATGGTGAGCATAAATACTGTAGCCTCACTCTTACACCCACCACAAATTCTGGGTTGATACTAAATTTATGCTTTATTTCACTAATATCCAACATATTTTCCTGCATTTCAGCTGTGACTGAAGTTACAAAAGATATTTCATTGGTTATCAAACACTTTGGGGCATCGTTGGTCATGAAATGTGCTGGGTTGTCCAGCAGATGAGTCATCTTAGGCAGCGTTATATTAGGTCTCCAATGGATGAATAGCTGAAGTTTGATCACTAAGGAAGATAGCTGAATCACTTTTCTTCTAGCTAGCTCTGTTGTTTCATTAGCATATAAATACAGCAATGTCAATGTGACTCAGCATTGAGGTGGGCTTGAACAGAGTGCTGGAGAGTTGGGGTGATTGGGGAAGAAGGTGCTCCTTTGCTTTTTCTAACTTGTTCAGCCCCTAGAAACAGAATTAACCTTTCAAGTCCAATATTTCTCATCTTATGTTCTGAAGCGTCACATTGGATTTGAAATATTAACTCTCTTCCCCCAGATGGTAACACACCTGTTGAGTTTCTCTAGCATTTTGTTTTTATTTCAGATTTCCAGCATCTGCAGTATTTTGCTTTTATTTGAGGGAGAGGGCAGGTTTGATGAAATTATGCTCAGAGGAAGTATAGGATAGAAGCACTTGAATTTACGAGTTACTTGACAAAGCACAACATACACAAGATATTGCAAATATATTATATTGACTAGTTAAGCACTTCAGTAGACCTGAACATGTACAATTTTGCCAAAATTAACAATGATAAATTTCTATCACAGGATCTTCATGGAAGAAAAAAAATATTCTGAAGACTCGTCCAGTACTCATCCCTAATTGGAACATGAAGTCTTCAATTTCATGCCAAAATGAAGTAAAGCCATTTACTGCATTATTTACATTGCAGTTCATTAAATTCCAGAATCAAATACGTATTTCTGCAAGATTACAGTACTCACCAAAGCATTGCCACATATTATGACTGCATACTTTGTAGACCTTTAGATATATGCTTTCATGAATGTTGTCATATTTACTATCCTATGATAAGCTATCACTCAAATATATGGAGACGTGTATTGCTGGGGTCTTGTGGAACATGAACGTAGCTTCTATGAATTCTTAAGTTACTATGCTAAATATATATAGATGCAATATGAAGTATGCCTCAAAGTACAGCTATGTAAAATGAAATACTTGAGAAAAGAATTTTAAATAATGCTTAAAATTTCATGGAAGATTTGATTCAAATCATGGACACTGATGGTCTGAGTACTTTCACACTTCTATTTGTTGGATTCTGATGTCACAAACTGGCTGTTCCGACATTATAGTGACCAACATTTCAAAAGTGCTTTATTGCCTGTAAAAAAATTTTGAAACATTACCGAGGTTGTGAAAGGTGCTGTGTAAATACAAGTCCTTCTTTCATATTACTGAGCTAATGACTTAAGCATTCATTGTCAAGATGCCAGACTATAATAACAACAAACAAAACAATTTTAGCGGTGGTAGCAAATAAAACTATTCGACTAACTAATGTTGGTAAATATTTCTCTTAGGAGATTGTTATTAGTATCTCCAATAACGCAGCCATATCAGAAACGAGTGTCCGTCAAGAGGGGGTTACCTTTATCAGTTCACCAAATATTCTGTGGAGAAATAACAATTCAAACAGTACATGTCAACTTGGGTGCTATTTTAAATTTTCATAATGGATAATATTTTAGTTGCACATTCTTCAAGTGTGGTCAAATGAAAAGCCTAATTCTTGCAGTAGGTTTTTAAATCTCTGGAACACACATCAGCATAAACCAAGAATACTAAATGAGGGCCAATATTAGCCTTCCTGATTACCTGCTGTATTTATATGCCAGTTGTGTGTTTCATGCACAAGTATCCCCACATTCCTTTGCATTGCAGCCTTCTGCAGTTTGTCTCCATGTAAACCATATTCTGTTCTTTTGTTCTCCCTTTCAAACGAAAAACTTTACATTTTCCCCACATTGTACTTCTTCCATGCCCCACAGCCCAGGCTCTGTCAGAACACAGGCTGCTTTCAGCACAATCCATTTACATCTACTTACGGTCCCCATTATCAGCTTTTCGCCTCCCTTAGTAGACCATTATCCATCCCTTTTTTTAAAAAATCAAACGGCTTTCTCTCCCTCTGTCCTCCGGCTCTACTAATCCTCTCACTTCTTTACCCCTCTGACTCTCCTTCAGCATATATATCACCTTTTCCTCGCTAGTACTAGTTCTGATGAAGGGTCACTGGACCTAAAACATTGACTGTGCTTTCTCTCCACATATGCTGCCAGATCTGCTGAGATTTTCCAGCCAGTTCTCTGCTTTAATTTTACATTCCCGCCTAGTTTTGTGTCATCAGTATACTTGGAAATATTGCATTTAGTACCCACATCCACACTACTCATTACAGCCTTTCAAACTGAGAATGACCAATTATTAGCATTCTCGGACAACCAATTCTCAATCCATACCGTATTTAATCCTTATCCACTACTTAGTTTACTACCCTCGTGTGG